GAAGCTTTATCTTGCACCAAGTGCAAGATAAAGCTTCCTGGATGGAAAGTGAAACGTCTTCAAACTTGGACACAAAGTCCAGTGGATTGTTTTTAACTCTCTTTTTTTGGAAGTCCTGCACAACTGATTCATGGGAGGAAAGTCAGCGCAGATGATTCTGTCTGCAGAGGTGGTCGTTGGTTGCAGTTTGGAGCTGTCCTGTTTGGTGGATGGAGGAACACTGGACAGACTCAAGTGTCAGTGTAAGGGTGTAAAGACCCTGTCAGGACACCAATGTGGGGCCCATGCAGGTTGAATGTGGGCGGGTGAGTGTGCCCCATTTGGGCTGCCCAGCTGGGTCCCAGATATTTCTGTCCAGGGGTTCCATGTTGGCCCCATGTGGGCAAGCCCAGATGGGCTGAGGGTGGGTTTTACATGGGCCCCATCTAAAGCCTACATGGGCAACCCAGGTTTCTCCCACATGGGTCCCAACAACAGAGCCCACTCTGAGCCCATGCCCAGCTGAAGCCCATCCAGCCCAAGCGAGGCCCATATGGGGGGTCGTGTTTGCTGGGGATGTTGCACCTGTTTGTTTCTGGGCTGCTGCGTTGCTGAGGATGGGGCAGAGATGTGAGGAGAGGCCTTGATGTCAGAAACTACAGGTGATGCTCTTCAGCGTGTTGATGCTGAGCTGCAGTCAGATGCTGAAATGATGACATCACTGTGCCGTCCTGCCTCTCTGCACGTCCTCTCCAACGTCCCCTAGCAACATGAGAGAGGTGCCGGCTGGGGGTAGGTTATCATATAGATGCATCCAGCTTCCTTCTTCTGCTGTCAGTAACTCCCCCTCCCTCTCTACCCTGTGGTCAGCCCCTGCACTCTGCTCTCCTTCTGATCCAATGGCCAATCAGGCAGATGAATGGGGGCAGGGCCGAGCACAAACACCATTCCAGTGCAGAGCTGTAACAGGGAGCTAGCAACGGGGAGGGGGGAGGCAGAGGAAAAGCTATCCTGTGTGTGTGTGAGAGAGAGGCGTGACTGCTGCCTGTCGCAGACTAGCAGCCGCAGCTATCAGACCATTTATTTTTCCTTTTTAACCTTGGCTTTCCCAGCTGTACAGCTCAGGTCTGCTGCCTGTTTCTCTGCAGTTTGAAAGGAGCAGTGTGGAGGGGAGAGGAGTGAACCTAAGCCAGGCTTCCTTCCTCTGCGTTCTCCAATCCAAAGCAGCACAGTCAGCTGATACCTCCTGACGGACGAGCAGTCAGGATGATAGCGGCTCAGCTACTGGCCTACTACTTCACTGAGCTGAAAGATGATCAGCTCAAGAAGGTAAGAGTAGAACGTTAAACCCGGCAGCTAAGACTGGAGGCTTCTGGGTTGGATGTCAGGAAACACTGACGGGATGTCAGGAATCAGCTCCAGGGGCCGATTCTGTTGGGAGAGGAGAATGTAGTTTTCCACAGCTACTAGAGGAGAAGGTCACGATCAGCACTGGGTTGGGGGCTGGTCCATTTTCAGGTCCCATTATGGGTTCTTGTATTTGACACTGATGTCCTTGAGCTGGGCTGTGGCGCCGGGGATGGTGTCTGCAGCACATCGCCACCATCAGGGGGTTTTGGAGCATTGGTTGCCATAGCCGCCGAAGACAGCAGGTGCCGGCTGTCATAAAAAGTCATGTGGGCTCCCTCATTATGTCTCATCCGGTTTCTTCTCTCTCCTGCATCCAATTACTGAAAAAAAAACATAAATCTTAGCAAATCAATCACTACTTGCTTTTTTTAATGCAAATGTGCACAAAACTATGTTGATATCCCTCTAATTTTGAAAATGCAAAATTATGAATGCAGTTTTACATTTAATAATAAATACAATAAAGATTGCACGTGAATACGTTTGTTTAGACAAAAGGCCTAACTTTTGAAAACCACAATGTAAATATTTAAATGAGACATACCTATATTTATATCCACACAGCTCTAATGCGCGTCGCACTTGTTACCTGCGAAATGTTAGAAACAGTCTCCTCATGAGTCCAGATATGCCGTTTTATCGTCCTCCAACTACTTCCGCTCTTTTGACAAGGCACTAAGGTCCAGTTGCAGGTCATGTGACCCGTATGACGACAGCAAAAAACTGTTTCCAACGTAGTTTTGCAAAATATAATAATTTTGATGCGACCAAAAAACTTTTTACTGTTCATCTTTAGTATTTTTTTAATTGCAGTGTTTCCGTTTAGTAAAGTTATTTTTACAATTAAAATTTGTGCAATTTTATGGTAAATGGTAACGCAGCTGCTGAGACAGAACCAGACCAGTTTAGACAGAGGAAGGGGTGTTTACTGGGTTGGCTAACAGAAATGATAAGAAGCAAGAGACAAATGCCGCTAATGAAGTTCAATAAATGCCCTTAACCTCTTTACTTCCTCTTTACTTCCTCCGCCCGATATCGGTAGATTTTTACATAGAATCAGGCAATCCTAAGGAAAATGTCCATCAAATTCAAATATAAGCCAACCATACCCTACAAAAACCAATAGCTAATAATTCATTATCAAATGCATTTCCCAAAAAATAAAGTCAAGTGTCGTAATAATCCACCAAAGGACGTTTTTTTTTTGTTTTGTTTTTTTGCCATAAAAAGGTAAAAGCATAAGAATGAAAACATATAATACATCTTCGTAATGATGCTTGTCCAGCATTATAGATAAGATTAGATTAGATTCAACTTTATTGTTATTACACAGGTACAGGTACAAGGCAACGAAATGCAGTTTAGGTCAAACCAGAAGTGCAAAAGCCGCAAGTGCAGGATAAATACTGGTTCTATAAATATAGGACATGGGTATTTCTACTGAATGAGTTTAGAGATGAATGCTATTATAAATAATTAATATAATATATAGATCACTAGTGTTATCAACTAAATTTACAGCTGGATATGTACCGGATATAATATACAGATGGATATTACTATTAAAAAAAAGGTTTTTACAGTTATGTACAATAGCATATATACAGATGAGTTTTACTATAAAATGAATAAATAGAGTTTGGCCAGAAGCTATCTAAATTAAAGTGCAGTGGAAGGAAATTGCATATTAAAGTTAAAGTACGTTATAACAGATGTAAATGTAAACAATTGGTGCTGTGAATAAACAGTTGGCAGTGCAAATATAAGCAGTAGGCAGTGTAAATCAATAATCAGTCAAAGTGAGTAGTGCAAGATGCATATAATCTACGTTACGTGGACGTATTCACCTACCTGTTTGCTCCATACATCAAGTGTAACTTCCATTTTGACCAACTCTAATAATATGGAAAATTCTTCTATGTAAAAAAGGCCCTCCCCATGCACATGCGTCACGTAGATTTGCTCATCTCGTGCTCGACAATATAATGGCCAATCAACCTTCGATTGACATATTTTGTTTTCCTATAAAATCAGCTTTGCGATGATATATCGGCAATGTAGAGCCCAGGTGAAAATATAGGTTTTATTTACTGGGGTAAAGAGAGGAGAGGAGAACCTAGCGGTTAAAAATGGGGTGGATTTTCACGCTTCAAAATTGGAAGTATTGTAAAAATAAGTGCTTGTGTTAAAACATAGAAAAGTGTTTTTTTTTTCGCTCAAATTAGTCATAAAATTCAAATAATCCAGTTTGGAACATTTTGCCCAAATTTGGTGCACTTGTGTTTATTTTTATAGCACCAATTCTAAACACATGTCATCTCAAGGCACTTTACTGAGACAATTTAATCAAATCATACAGTCAAATTGATTAAAAGTTTTCTATCTAAGGAAAACCAGTTGATTGGACCTTTTGTATACAAAAAGTTTTTTTTTACACAGTTTTTGTCCACAACATTAAGGGCAAGTGTAGGTAGTGGGAGAGGTTAGCTATGAATAATACAAATGATACAACGTGATAAGCAGGGCTCGATGTTAACCATCGCCCGATCGCCCGGGGCAAGTAGTTTTTATTGTCGGGAGAGTACAAATTACATTGTATTTGCCCGCCGGGCAAGTGCAATGATCGCAAAAAAAAATTATTTATCACTCAAAATTACTTTAAAATCACCGACATTCGCTTAAAACCACCCACAAGCGTTGCCGGCGCCATTTTTGTTGTTTTGTACACATTCTCGTGTGATTTAAAAAAGCCGTGTGATTTTTCCCTCCTTAGGGAGAGAATTCTGCAGAGCAGCAGCTGGATGATGAATTTAATCTATACTATAATACGGGCTAGATTAAAAATGATCAGTCAGGGATTAGGAAAATAATAATAATAACTGTATGTGCACAGTGTAAATATTTCTATCATATAGCAGTCTTATGTACATAAAAAAAAATTCATTGAATCTTTTTCTCTTAGACATTGGAGTGGTGCATTTAAATGTTATAGAGCTAAACATGTTAAATTGGTGAGTAGTAGTAGTGTATGTTTTTAACCTGTCAAGTTTTTTTTAGATTTTTTAACATTACAATTTATATTTTTCCAAGCACACAACAGTTTAAAGCAAAGTTTAGTTTGAAAAGAATGTGCAGGAAGGATTGAAAAGCATGTTAACACGGTAATGTAGGCTTGAGTTCATTATCTAACGCATGCAGATACACACCAGGAACCTGGAAACTTAAAAAATACTGAATTACAAAAAACATTTAAAAAAACAAACATGTTTCATTGATATATATACAAAAATGAATATTAGGAACTATATTTATCAAACATTATACTGGGCAAGTAAAAATTGTTTCTGGGCAAATGAAATGTGAAAGTCACTTGCCGAAGGGCAAGCGGTAAAAACCCTTAACGTTAAGCCCTGATAAGGATTACATATTTTTATTTACGAGGGGAAAAAGCAGGTCTTTTGGACATGTTTGAAGTTACACACTTGTGTTTGTTTTAAACCTACAGAGTCTGTACGCACATCTCCAGAAACCAAAGGGTCTTAGCTTTCAATATATCATATATCGTAATAATATTTCATATCGCAAAAATTTTAGATTTAAAATATCATTCTATTAGCCAATAGCATTTTTGGTATGCAATACCGTGCTATAAAGGTGGGTGTTAAGGGGTTTTAATGAGAAGAATTTTTTTTGTGGTGTTAAAACTGCGTAACATGGCGGTGAAAAGTTATTCACCTTCCTTAAAGATTTCTTCTGCTTTTGCTAAACTAATTTGAAATCCTCAAGTAAATCTTTCATGTCTGATAAAAAGATAAGAGAGGAGAAAAAACGCTGAACAAACCAATCTAGGCGTTCAGTTAATCGTTATTCATGAACTAACTGAAATGATCTCAGTTGACTTTGACTCCACCATCATTTAAACACAACCTGTTTGATGACGAGGCGTAGCTCAAACAATGGTGTAAAAAAAGTAAAAAATTAAAGAAATGAAAAAGACAGATGACAAACAAAACCACTGACGACTGAGAGACCCATTAGCAAAAGGAGAAAACATAGAACAATAATGAACTATCACACGAGAACATCACACAGTCCATAGTCACAATAATGATCCATCCAGAAGGCCACAAAAGAGCTGAGAACAACATCTAAGGATCTCCATGTCTCACTGGCATCTGTTTAGGTCAGAGTTCAGTATTCAACAAAGAAAAAGAACAGCTGGGCAAAAATAGAACCTAAAGGCCACAATGGTGGCTTAGGGTAGAGTGCCCGGGATCATTTTGAAGGACTAAGCCCTTCATGAAGAGAAAAAATGGCCTCCATGAAAGGTTTCCAAGGTCAGAGCCACCGGCGACTGAAAAAGAACTCAAAGGCCTGTCTAAGATTTTATTATAAAATATCTTAATAAATCCCAAGACTCCGTTCTGTTGCCTGAAGGGAATAAAGAATTAACAATTTGGACATTTTTCCTCCAGTTGAAAAATATTCTCTAGTCTCTAGTCATTGATTATTATTTCAGTCACTCCTTGACTTCTTCTTGCAACTTGCTCCTTCACCTTTGGACCTGTTCAACAAAAAAAAAAAAAGTATTTGATAGAAATGTGGAAATCTGCAGGCCTTTTCGAAGACCAACAGCCAAAAACAGAAATATATTTGGTCAGTCTTATCCAGCTCAAAGTATTTTTTTAACGTGACTGATTTACCTTCCCTTTTTGCTTTCGTTTTTTCTGTCTCCAGATTGATAAATACCTGTACTCCATGCGTTTCTCTGATGAAACGCTCAAGGACATCATGGGCCGTTTCCGCAGAGATATGGAGAATGGACTGGGCCGTGACACCAACCCCACAGCAACAGTGAAGATGCTGCCCACCTTTGTCAGGTCCATCCCTGATGGATCAGGTAGGATGTCAACGACTGCAGGATTGTCTTTGAGGGAGTTTACAATTTTACGGCAACACAAAAGTTGTGACGTATGAAGCATGTTTGTAGAAATGTGCTGATGCTTTGAAATGGCCCACTGTGTCATACTCCACCACTCTGTCTGTTCTCTGGATTTGCTGTCACTAATCACCATTGTTTTAGTAGTGAGGCCAGTTTGGAAATCCTAATCGCAGACAACACAACTCTAGTCGGATTAAAAACCAGTACAGAACTAAATGCTGGATGGATTTTTTTGACCAATTATAGAACATTTAGCTGTAGGCTTTAGAACTGGCTTTTGATGTGCCAAGAACAGGTATATTTTTATATTGATCATGTCATTTAGGGGCACAGAACTGTTCCCTTAGTGGAAGACCAGGGATTCAAATACTAAAACAAAACATTTATCATTTCACTTTTTCATTCTGATCTTTACACATTGATTGAAAAGTCTATTTTTTTTATGTGGAGAGAATATCATCTAAAAATCCACAACAGAGGCGAGCAGGTGGCGCAGCGGTTAGTGCGCACGACCCATGTACGGTGGCCTTAAGGCCGATTTATGCTTCTGACGCAAAGCCTCTGCAACCATCAAAATCCTGACTATGCGGTGGATGGTCGCAAAAACGCGCAGACCTCAAGGGGAAATGCGCAGACAAAAAGCAGCTGTGATTGGTCCTTGGTATGCCTTTCCGGCTGTCTGTGTGGTCGTCCTTCTCGATCCAGTGCCGGGGTGCGCCATTTTTTAAAACCGAGGAACAACTACAATGGACAACTACGATGAAAGATTAATTGGTCTTTTAGCCAGCTCCATTAACAGAAACTGTTCCTCATCTCTAGATTCATCTTTGTGACCGTGATATCTTGCAGACGCGCCATTGTTGTTTTGGAAGATAAACCCTCCCGCTGCCGCCGAAGTTCTCGTTACCATCCGCCGAAGTTCTCGCAAATTTTTGAATAAGCTCCCCCTTGCAGTTTGGCGGGAAACTGCTATGCATTCCCAGAAATTTCAGACCGACGGTGCAGAAGCTTACCAGCAAAGCTGGTTTGCGACCAGACCCAAGCGACATTTGATGTGTGCAGTTGCAGAAGTAGTCCTCGACGCTGCTGACCCGGGTTCTAATCCGGCCTGTGGTCCTTTGCCGCATGTCTCTCCCCCTCTCATACCCCGTTTCCTGTCAGCCTACTGTCCATAAAAATGAGCCAATAGCGCTTTAAAAAAAAAAAAAAAACTCCACAAAAAATGTATTCAAACATGAGAGCTAGATTAATCCCCTTCTTAAAGTAAGTAAAGATGTATTTAACACCATTTGTTGTGGCCATTTATGTAAAATTGTTTGTAATTTGCAATTTCTACCAATTTAGTTTCCTTGTTTTAAAAGTTAGAATATATTTAAATTATATTAAATATATATATAAATATATATTATATATTAAATATATTCCAAACCAAAATTTGATATTTATTTTTTTATATTTGGAATTGTTTAGATTACCTTGTGAATTGTTAGACCCTCCCATTAATTTGAGAAATTAGTAACACAGCTTGCGAAGTTCTAGGACATTTTGAGTAATTATTTTCTGTTTCCTTTTACAATAAATAAGTCAAGTCACAAATGCGTACAAAGCCAAAAATCACTTGTCACCGCCTTTTTTGAAAATTTTGGTATTTTTTGGAACAAATGGACCTTTAAGATAAAAATCACAAAACTCTCTAACAAACAAACAAAAAAAAAAACATAAGCAAAAGCAGGTTTAAAAGAGGAGGCCAATGATTTAAGAGCAGGATGAAGAAAGTTCCAGAGTATTTTGCCAGTGATTTTGTCTTGAGCTCAGGATTTGAAGGACCTGTTGGTGTTGTGAGGGATTGTATTGTCTGTACATGCAACGCTCGCCAAGACAGAAACATTACCATCCAATATACTCCATGAGGAACCAGAAACCACTGAAGTTGCACTAAAAGTTGGGTTGTATGAATAAAACTTTAAAAGATCCAGTCAGGAACCAAGCAGCAGTATTCTGCACAGACTGCTACCAGTCTAGGGAGGTTTAAGTTAAAGGTGTGCATAGTGATTGCAAAAGTTTAGCAGCATGGATTGCAATTTCGTGGAGGAGACACAACAGGGCAAACAGGAACGAACCTGAGATCTGGCAGTATTTTCCACGAGTCTTAGTAAAAGCTTTTACCAAGGCTTTTAACCCAGAGTTTTACAGAAAACGAAAAGGCTCAAAGATTTGACTTATCTCTTTTTTTTTGTACAGAAATTATTCCTTAATTTTGTAGTCTTTTACCTGGAGAAAACTTTTTTTATTTAATCCAGACAGCTGCAGCCCTGCTCTGCTCTTCACACTTTATAAATAGCCTTTAGTTTAAGCATCAGCATAAGGGAAGCAGAGAGCACGCAAAGGGCAAAGTTGAAGCCATGACGAGCAATGGTGGGATGGGATGTTATAATGTTAGTAACAGAGAGCTTTGCTTTAAACTCAACAAATACAGCGTTGTACTCCTCCGAACCCTAGAATTGTTTTATGAAAGAGACATATAGATTAAATATTTTCTAAAGCAATACGAGTAAATGATTAAGTCTAGCCCAAATCTACTATAGGTTAACACTAGAAGTCCATTTTCCTGCAACCCCACCTCCCCTTGAAGTTTGTGTTTTCACTCTACCTTGCTAACTGTCCCTATTGTAAAGCAAATAACCTGTGATATGACCAGCTCTTCTACATGAGACTGGATAAAGGCTGAAACAAACTGGCATTAGAAAAAGAGCATGCTCCAAACACTTTTTGTTACCTGCCCCTGCAACATCAGACCTTTTTGCAGGAAAATCTTGATAAGTAATATCAAAATCTTTTATTTAGGCAAACCTATTGAACAACCAGATATCATTCGTGTCTTAGTTCCTTAGCTGAGAAAAGGTCATAACCATGCTTTTCCAACAAGGCATGTTGCAAAGCTCACTGTCATTTCAGCTTAGAGAATAACGAACAGTATGACTTCAGTATTGGAGTAACATTTATTTCACTACATATGAAGCTACAATTGTGTCATGGTTTTATCTAAAGCTCGGACCCACATGCAGAGAAACCAATTCAGAGAGACCAGGGGAAAAGGTTTAACAGGTTTTATTGAAGAAATAAAGTACGGTGCTCTGAACTCTGCTCAGTCGGAACTGGAAGGTGAGGGGAAGACACAACGATTAGTTCAGGCTCAGTGGGAAATTTCATTCGTGGATTTGGAGAACAGGATCTGGTTGTTGACTCACGTTTCCAGAAAAGTTGTAGAATCTTTGACTCCAATCTGTGTGCTGTTTTCTTGTGTTAGTCTGATTCGGTGGAGGGCGGAACAGGGTTTACCCAGAACTTGGTTGGTTGTTGGTGAACAGAGAAACTGACTGCCACTCAGATTTCCTGCGGTACTTGAATGGGTCGTAGTGGAGATGATTCCCTTGCTCAGAGAGTAAACTCAACGTCCCCTCAGGGAAACTGGATCCAAACCTCCAGTTAGAATCCCCAGCTCAGTTTGAGGCTCAGTTGATCCCTCCAGGGACTGAAGGTCCGAAATGTCTAGTTTGCAGGAAGACTTCCTGCCGAGAGGCAAAGACAAAAAAACAAAGTTAAAACTCAGGTAGACAAGAACTCAGTCTTACTCAGCAAAAACTCAGCTTGGCTAGAGTACCCAAAACCGGCAAACACTCTGGCGTCGAAGTAGTGGCAATCAGCAGCTTAAGAGCACTCCATTAACGAGGTAACCGTCAGCAGGTGTGTGAGGAGGCGGACCAGAACCAGGCGCCTCCTGGTGGATGAAGGGAGACAAACACAGACACACAAACACAAAAACAGGAGTCCTGACACATATTTAATCCAGAGCAACAGATTCTCACAATCCACTATAGAAGAAAACCAAAGCACAGAGTTTTCCTAAGATATCTCTACTACAACATACAATTTAATGCACAACACTGTTTAAAAAAAGCAAGAACAATCCTAATTATCAATCACTAATGTCTCTCTATATTCTAAATTTGACAGAAAAAGGAGACTTTATAGCACTGGATCTTGGTGGGTCAAACTTTCGGATCCTGCGCGTCAAAGTGACTCAAGACAAGAAGCAACCGGTTCAAATGGAGAGCCAAGTCTATGATACTCCTGATGACATCATCCATGGCAGTGGGACTCAGGTAAATGCAGAAGTCAGCCGGCTATTTTCAATTGAAACGCATCCTTTGGTAGTGACGCTTAACACAAAAATAATATCTGGATCTTCCTGGACCGGTATACATTTCCATGTGCAGAGATGGTAATGGTCAGTTTTTAGTATTGTTTCTGTGCTGCTGTGAGTATTAGTAGGGGCTGCTGAACTCAGCCAAGTTATAGAGACAGCAGCTGCTGCTCAGGTTGTAACACAATAAGCAAAACATGGCCAACTGACAGCAGCAGCGGGATTGTTCAAAGGTCTTACTTAGACTTGAGATTTAGTCCATGAAACACAGAAGAGACAGCTGTTTGGCAAATGTAACCGGATCCATGAACACATCTTAGGTTGTTTTTTTGGAAACTTTATAAAGGTCTTTGTCAAGAAGATAAAGCTTTGGTAAATGTGGGTAACCTAAGAGTTTAACAGAAGGAGTTTTAATTGTGTTTAGTATGACATAAAGGCAAAGCTTTGTTTGTAAGGGCTGACCATGTTTTTTTCTGTATAAAGTTATGAAACAGCCTATGGCATCAGTAATACACCATCTCTGTTATGACCTCTGAATAATGTCTATTGTAAAAATGTCCTGCTTTCCTCCAGCTCTTCGACCATGTTGCGGATTGCCTTGGGGATTTTATAGAGAAGCAAAAAATTAAGGATAAAAGACTCCCTGTTGGATTTACCTTCTCGTTCCCCTGTGTCCAGACCAAACTGGATGAGGTAATCACCTTAAAGGATCATTGTATTCATTTTTGGGATAGAAGTATTTGCTCCGATGCAAATACAGTGTTTTGTGTCCGTCCGTCCGTCCGTCCGTCCGTCCGTCCGTCCGTCCTTCCTTCCTTCCTTCCTTCCTTCCTTCCTTCCTTCCTTCCTTCCTTCCTTCCTTCCTTCCTTCACTAACAAGTCATGCTTTAGCTCACTTTCCTTTTGTTGAACTGAGTAGGAGATTTAGGTCACAAATTGATTGACATATGCGTCCAACCAAAAAGGATTCCTGTATTTCTTCAGTTATCTTGTTATTAAGGTCCTGAATCAGCAAAACGATCCCAGGACATCACTCCACCACCACCATGTTGGACTGTTCTTTGTCTAAAATGTAGGGATAGCTTTAGACCGAACGTAACAAGACAGACACCTTCAAACAAAGTAGTTTTTTGTCTCATCAGTCCACTGAACATTTTCACAGATGTTTGTCTGGGAGCTTTTGCATATATTCCATAATCCAAAGTGCTGCACATGAGAAAATAAAGAAAACTAAATTGCAGTGGCTTAAAGATAACATGAATAATTAAAGAGAACTACAAATGAGTAATTAAAATAAGACAATTCACTAAAAAATGCTTGATATTAACTATGAAAAGGATTTAATGCTCAATTATGTTTAGGCTGCAAAGTCAATGAGATCTTTAAATCAGTATGTTTTTAATCTCCATTTATAGTGCATAAGAATGAAAAGCCGCTTCTCCATGTTTGGTTTTGGTTCTGGTTCTGGCCGGGTATGGAGAGTAGATTAGGACCAGGGAACCTAAGACGGTCTGGCTGTTGATCCACTGACATCAAGTCTGTAATATATTTTGGTTCTAAGCTATTCAGTGATTTATAGACTAACAGATGGATTTTAATGTCTATTCTCTAAACTACGGGGAGCAGGTGGAAGGATGTTAAGATGAAACACATTCTCATGAGGATGAATATTGTAAAGTTATAAAGAAAGTTAACTTTTAAAGCAGAAGTCTGATCAAAGCTCCTCTTCCTCAGGCGGTCCTAGTGACATGGACAAAGAAGTTTAAAGCTAACGGGGTAGAGGGCATGGATGTAGTGAAACTTCTGAACAAAGCAATCAAGAAGCGAGGGGTGAGTCTTATATTTTTTTCTTTTGATATATTTATGTTCCTGTTGTTTGACCGTGGAACATTCAACCTTTTCCTTTTTCTCTCAGGACTATCAGGCTGACATCATGGCAGTGGTGAACGATACCGTCGGCACCATGATGACGTGTGGATTTGACGACCAGCGTTGTGAAGTGGGAATAATTATAGGTGAAAATTAACTGTTGATATGAAATCTTATAAATTATCTGAAGGGAAATAGTCAGTATAAAAAGGTATTAGAGTATTTTAGTATATTTTCTGCATAAATTTCATTCATACTATCATATCTGGAAGGGGCAGCACGTATATCAGGGAATCTGGTTGGCAACCGATGATTCAAGGCAAAGCTCTTTCAGGCCTCATCAATAACAAAGCTTGTGATAGAACGTCTGAATCCCCGTAATAATTTCTGTATCAGCGCAATTTGGTTAAAAATGTCCAAAGTGAGTCCAAAGCACCGTTTGACCCATACATGTTGACGCTGAGGCATTTTTTAAAGAAGAAACTGATCAAATGTAGCCATTTTGAGGTGTAGAATGTGACCCAACATCGGGGATTAAACGGCCTCAAAGTGAAGCAAAGCTGTCTCAAAGCACAGTCAAAATAATGAGGCAAGTGTTTGAGGGGAAAAGTTGATCGACTCAAACTCTGAACCCTCCCAGGAACGGGAACAAATGCCTGCTATATGGAAGAGCTGCGCCACATCGATCTGGTGGAAGGGGACGAAGGCCGGATGTGTATCAACACCGAATGGGGGGCCTTTGGGGATGACGGCTCCTTGGAGGACATTCGCACAGAATTTGATCGTGAGATCGACAGAGGCTCCCTGAACCCAGGAAAGCAGCTGTAAGTGACACTATCAAAATTCCATCCATCCATTTTCTGTCACGCTTAATCCCAGTTGGGGTCGTGAGGTGTCTACGGGCGAGTGGCGGGGTACATCCTGGGCAGGTCGCCAGTCTATCAGAATTCGATTCCTAAAAATAAAAAGCATGTTGGAATAAAAACTGGTTTAAAGTCCAGTTATTCTGTGTTTGTTAGGTTTGAGAAAATGGTCAGTGGAATGTACATGGGAGAGCTGGTTCGACTCATCCTGGTGAAGATGGCCAAAGAGGGGCTGCTGTTTGAAGGCCGAATCACCCCTGAGCTTCTGACCAAAGGAAAGATTGAGACCAAGCATGTCTCTGCCATCGAGAAGTGAGTACATACTGGAATAAAAACCTGACCTTAAGAACCAGAACTGTTGAGTTAAGCAGAAAAATCAAGCATTTCTCTTATTTTTTCTGTAAAAAATGTCCTTTCAGGACTAAAGAAGGGCTGAAGAAATGTATGGAGATCCTGACCAGGCTGGGTGTGGAGCCTTCAGATGAGGACTGCCTGGCCGTCCGGCACGTTTGCACCATAGTGTCCTTCCGCTCAGCAAATCTAATTTCTGCTACTCTGGGAGCCATCCTCTCCCGCCTGAAGGACAACAAAGGAGTGGCTCGCCTTCGCACTACTGTGGGAATCGATGGTTCTCTCTACAAAATGCATCCTCAGTGAGCATCTTAGATCCCAATGAGAACTTAGCGTGTTTTTAATACTGTCATACAGAAGTACTATGTCATTCCTCCTTGTTTTGACAGATACGCCCGACGCCTGCACAAGACCGTACGCCGTTTGGTTCCAGACTCCGACGTCCGTTTCCTGCTTTCTGAAAGTGGAAGCGGCAAAGGCGCCGCCATGGTGACCGCGGTGGCGTACCGACTAACTGACCAGGCGCGGCAGATTCAGGAAACGTTAGCTGAATTCAGGCTGAGCAAAAGCCAACTGCTGGAGGTGAAGAAGCGCATGAGAGTGGAAATCGAAAGAGGCCTGAAGAAGGAGAGCCACAAGGAAGCTACAGTCAAAATGTTGCCGACTTTTGTTCGGAGTACACCGGATGGGACAGGTGACCGAAAGAAGTGAAATATCCGCTCCAATTTAGCTTCCGTGTTTTCACGACCATAAGGCGCACCGTACTAAAAGGCGCAGTCTCAATTATGTGTGCCATTACTGTATTTAACACACACATAAGGCGCACCGGATTAAAGGGCGCGGGTTTTATATACCGGTACATATCCTCTACTACGTTTAAATACCTCTACTGCATATTTAAAAAATACAGCGGGAGCAAAACTGAGTATGTTTGTGCTTTATTCATGTATTTATTACAAAGTATTAATCAAACCCATCAAAGTCATCATCCTCTGTTTCTGAATTAAACAGCTGCGCTAAATCAGACATGCTAATTTCCCCTTCTTCGCTGTCAGAGTCACTTTCCGTGCCGTGCGGCTCCTCGGAAATGATGCCGGCTTTTGCGAAAGCTCGAAAAACTGTGCCAGCAGACACGTTAGCCCAAGCATCTACAATCCATCCGCAAACTGTGGCGTAACTTGCCCGGCGCTGCCTTCCACTTTTCATGAAACTGTGATCTCCGTCGGTCATCCATCGCTCCCACGCCGCTCGCAGCCTTACTTTGAACGGCCGGTTCACACCGATGTTGAGCGGTTGAAGTTCCTTTGTCAGACCTCCTGGAATAACAGCAAGCACAGCGTTCATTTGATTCACCATGTTTTACACATCGGCTGTGAGATGGGCACGCATGGTGTCACAGATTAACAGCGATGGTGATGCGTGGAAAAAACCACCTGGTCTCCTTACATTCACCTCCCTCAGCCACTCTTTCATCATCTCCTCATCTATCCAGCCCTTTTCATTTGCCTTAATAACGACTCCAGCTGGAAGGGCTCTTTAGGCAAAGTCTTTCTCTTAAAAATCACCATAGGCGGCAGTTTCTGTCCATTTGCGTGGCAGCCAAGCATAACAGTAAACCCTGTTGTGTGTATCGCTACAGTGCTGGTCCCCTTCTTCTCCACCGTGTGATTCACCGGGATGTCGAAAGTGAGCGGCACCTCGTCCATGTTGGTGATGTGGCTTGGCTGGATGCGTTTGTCTGCGATGTGTTTGCTGCAGTAGGAGTGGAAGCTCGCCAGCTTTTCATTATAATCCGCCGGACGTTGCTGAGCATGTTCCTCTGCGTAGCTGATAGCCTTCAGTTTAAACTGTGCTTCATAGGCGTGTCTCTTTGCCATTTTCAGGGTTGTTATGACAACAATGTTCTGCATAAAGCACATACCTGTTCTTTTATACACAATCCATGCCCACACTTCCCCTTTAACGTTCTCATGGTGGTCTCAACAACGTCTGCAGTAACAACACACATAGGGCGCACCGCACTATAGGGCACGCCGCACATTTTGAGGGGAAAAAAAGACGTTTATATGCGCCTTATAGTCGTGAAAATACGGTGATAGAAATAGTTGTTTTTTTTAAGAATAAAAAAAAAACTATTTCATTTTAGCATCTCTCCTAACGTGTTTTGAATTGGTGCTATATAAATAAACTGAATTGGTTAGATGTGTTTACTCAGCACACCTACTGATCCACAGTTTTATCATTTATAAGGTGAAACATCAACTATTATTAACAATCTGCTGAGACTAGAATTGCATCAGAAAGCTACATTTAGTAGACACTGCCACTTATCATGTCCTGTGTGTTTTATTTTTCTAAAAACCCTTTACTACATAGATCTGTTTATGGTGTCTCATTGTAAGCCGAGTGAAACCAAAGGCTGAAAAGGAGACTGAACAGATTCTGCTGGCTTTCAGGTTAACAGAAGCCCTTTGTTTGTTTGTTTTTTTGTTTTTTTCAGAAAATGGAGATTTTCTTGCCCTGGACCTCGGAGGGACAAACTTCCGTGTTCTTCTGGTTAAGATTCGCAGTGGGAAGAGGCGCACAGTAGAGATGCATAACAAAATTTATGCCATTCCCATAGAAGTCATGCAGGGCACAGGAGAGGAGGTAATGGTTCTATTTTCCTCTACAGATCTAGATCTTTTTTTATGTTTTTTTCTATCTTTATCCTTGCATTCCCAGTACCCACCATTACATCCCCAGTGCATCTAAAATGAGTGCCTTTCTCCAGCTTTTCGACCACATCGTTCACTGCATCTCTGATTTCCTGGACTACATGGGAATGAAGAGCGCTCGGCTGCCTCTGGGTTTCACCTTCTCCTTCCCCTGTCACCAGACCAGCCTGGATGCAGTATGTTCCACCTTCCTCCACCTTTAACACATGGTTATAGTTTCCTTTCAGACCAGCAGTGCATGCTTAGCTAAATTAATAAAATAAGTTGGAAAAGAGTCAGACACCAGTCAAACCAAACACTAGTGATGTAAAAAAAAAAATGTATACACTACCGTTCAAAAGTTTGGGGTCACATTGAAATGTCCTTATTTTTGAAGGAAAACCCACTGTACTTTTC